ATATATATTACATTTTTAAGTGCTGTAGTTTTTTCCCTTTAAATAGGTCATTTTATAAGTTCTTGAGGTGTGCAAAATTTATTTTAAAATGATTCTGAAAATACAATATAAAATAACGAACAACATTAAGTAATTTAATAATAATACACTTGTGTATAGTAATTTTATTGTACTCTCTCTCTCTCTATATCGTCTGTTCCTGTTTCCATTGACACCGCAAACCATGCAGCTTTTTTTTTTTTTTTTATAATCTTTTAAAGATGTATTATATAAAATAGGACGCTGCGCTACGGCTAAAATTAGTGCTTCCTCCATTTTTGAATTTCTGTAGAGAGGTCACGCACTGACGTATCGATCTTCTACTGGTCACACGTCTTCACGTGATGCGAATTCGCAGGTCAGAGTTCACCAAACTTGAACTTTGGAACACAGCGAAATGCGAAATTTTTCACATGAGCTTGCGTTTCCGGTCTTACGCATTCGCATGCGTATGAATGGAAGTCAATGGAACGAAAAGTGCAGTGTGACCGCCCCTTTCAAGAGGGAAAACACTGAACCCCCATCCAGTAGCTTTTCTCAGTCATACGGCCTTCTGCCATAGGTATCTAAATGTAGAAATAATAACCTGATAAAACATCTGATGTTAACTTTTTGTATTCATATCCAATTAGGGCTGGGTATCGAGTTCGATACTTTTTAGGCACCGACCGAATTGCCTCGATACCATCGAGTATCGAAAAACGTCTTGTCGTTCGGTACCAAATTTCGATACCTAAGGGGTTAATCTCATCAGCGTCAGTGAGCCAATAAGCCTGCAGCACTAGCCGGTGTGTTCGACTAGAGGCGCGGCGCAGATCGATCATCCGCGAGAGCGATTCGAAAGCACACGGAGCAGTCTGCTCTCTTTAGCTCTCGTGGTACTGTAATACCACCAGTATAGAGTAGCGCGGGAGCTGCGTGGAGTTCCGATCATATGCAGATGTCCGTTCATACTAACGTTACACGACCGAAAGCGCGTGTTATGTGACCATTCATGCAAACTGTAGCATCATGCATAAGACAATAAATAAGATTTATATTCCGCTTTTACTCAAAACTCACTTTAAACCACCATCGAGTGTTTGTAATAACTTCCGATTGCCGTCTAACAGGGCCGGATTTACGCATTGCTCAAGACATTGAGCAAATAAATATAACAAACAATAGGGTAAAAAATGACAAACTATTTCCATGTCTTCCACCTTTTTTATGTAGGCTACGGAAATCACGCTTTCTTTCTCCCAGTCTCTCTCACAGACGCACACACAGTGCAGACACGCGGAGACGCAAACAGAAACTTCTTGTCAGCGCTGCACCGCGAATTTATCAGTAAAATAGTTTCGCAGCTGAAAAGCTACATGACATTTCTCAGTAGCGAGGTTCATGAAGGAGTTTAACTTAAAGATTCGCTATTAGTAGACGCTGCTGCTGAACGCTGCTGAGAGACGCATAGACGCAGGTATTCACACGCACTTAATATCTCTCTCTCTCTCTAATAACCGCATTAGACTGCATTAATAACTGCGTTAGCCTGCATATCAATGGCTCAAGCCTCTGTTATCAGCTCTAAAATGACGTTTTGGAATTTGCAACGGAAGGTTTGGGATGAGGTGCGTAAAAAAATTAGTTCAACCCACACGAGATTTCAGGACGGAAACATGTCAAATGTCTTGAAACAAATGATCTGAACAATGTCTTGATGTGTGGTTGGGACTACAGGGCGTTAAAATTATTAGAGAAATAATGCACTCCCGGAGGTGGTTATGTGGCCACGACTATATGGTATGGTCTTTCTCAGTTCTCAAACAAATTAAGAACTATTCGATTTTTATTGACTGAACGCAAGCGCTTATTCCGATAGAAAACACTGTATCGGTTTCCACTGATTAAGAAATATTTTTGTTTGCTTGGGTGGTAATATTAGGTCTATTATATTAATAGGGAAGGGGGCCCAAAAATGTGTTTTTCCCTTTGACCAGTTCTAGAGACGTCCATCTGTGGGAGTGGGCGGAATCTCCAGGGTGCTCCGTCTGAGCCTGATGAAATGGGAGAGATGGACAGAACAGGAACACAGAGAAAAACAACAGGGTAAGACATAGGGCTGGGTATCGAGTTCGATACTTTTTAGGCACCGACCGAATTGCCTCGATACCATCGAGTATCGAAAAACGTCTCGTCGTTCGGTACCAAATTTCGATACCTAAGGGGTTAATCTCATCAGCGTCAGTGAGCCAATAAGCCTGCAGCACTTGCCGGTGTGTTCGACTAGAAGAGGTGCGGAGCAGATCGATCATCCGCGAGAGCGATTCGAAAGCGCACGGAGCAGTCTGCTCTCTTTAGCTCTCGTGGTACTGTAATACCACCAGTATAGAGTAGCGCGGGAGCTGCGTGGAGTTCCGATCATATGCAGATGTCCGTTCATACTACAAGACCGAAAGCGTGTGTTACGTGACCATTCATGCACACTGTAGCATCATGCTACATAAGACAATAAATAAGATTTATATTCAGCTTTTACTCCAAACTCACTTTAAACCACCATCGAGTGTTTGTAATAACTTCTGATTGCCGTCTAATGTGTGTTTTGGCCATGTAATGTTGCTGAAATTAAATATGTTATTACCTCTGAGTCAGAGCAGCGATCATGGAAGAGAGAACACAGGCAGACAGCGCTGGAAGCTGCTAATGCTCATCAGTAAATCAGTGGAAAATTAATAGAAATGACGATTCTGTCTGAGCTAGGTGATTCTGTCACACGCACTAGTGTAAATGTAGCTAACAGATGTGTAAACTGAAGACTATTTGAGCTTTATTACAACTATTTTGCACTGATTTATTGTGTTGGTTAAATTTTGTTCCTTTGTGCAGTGGCTCAGGAGATGAGTCTTTGAGTTTGTATAAACATCAACAAGCTGAAAAATAAAACCAAAGTTTTTTTTTAGATAATGTAATCTTGTTAAAATTGATTTCATAAAATTGGTATCGAAAAAAGTATCGTTCAGGAACCGGTATCGAAGTCAAGGTATCGGTATCGAAAAATTTTGAACGATACCCAGCCCTATATCCAATTGGGCTCAACTAAAGATTTTTTGTTTTTTTGGTAGAAAAATTCTCAGACACCCCTGCTTTTGCTCTTGGGGCCCAATATCCTCATCTTTGATGAGCATTTTGACTGTGTAGGATTTTATTTTATTTTACAAAATACTATTGCTGCCCTGATGGAAATGTATAGCTAACTATTCCAAAAAAGTATTGTCCAGACCTCCACTTGGAAGGAAATATAGAAACCGGACCTCTTGGATCTTTAGAGTTAAACTCTTCATGTCAGCTCTGACAAAACAACAGCAATAAACAAGCATAAATAGGCATAACAGCCGAGCATCAGAGCCGGTACATATGCTTTTACTCTGCACAAATGTAATGCCTAACCCTAGCAACCAGCATTAGAAGTTTTTTTTTTTCAATCTGTATTCTGTGGTTGTGCACAAGACCAATTTGAGGATTTGCTAAATTGTGTCCAGTGATTGCGATTGCGATACATATATTTTCATTAAAATAGACTTTATGTTTAAAGGGGTCATATGATGCGATTTCAAGTTTTCCTTTCTCTTTGAAGTGTTACAAGCTCTTGGTGCATAAAGAAGATCTGTAAAGTTGCAAAGACTAAAGTCTCAAATCCAAAGAGATATTCTTTATAAAAGTTAAGAGTCAACCACGCCTACCTAAAACGCCTCGTTCTAACACGCCCCCACATATCTACGTCACTATGTGGAAATATTAGCATAATGCCGCCCAAATGTGCACGCAAAGAAAGGTGTGGTTTCAGGAACAGCAGTAGTGTTGATGCAGCCTACAGGAACGCCCTTTCACAATTTTGTATCACTCCGCTTGTTCTAGCCGGGTCTATGTTTTTTTTTTAAAGGGGTCATATGATGCGATTTCTATTTAGTGTGTTATGTAGCTATTTGTGCATGTATAAGATCTGCAGAGTTACAAAGCTCAAAGTCTCCCACAAAAGGATTTATTCTATCTAAAAGAGAAGGCTGATCCAGACCGGGCTAAAACGCCTCATTCAAACACGCCCCCACATCTCTACGTCACGATGTGGAAATATTTGCGTAATGCCGCCCAAATGTTCATGCAAAGAAAGAAGGCGTGGTTTCAGGAACAGCAGTAGTGTTGATGCAGCCATGTCAGGGAGACGCTGTGTGTTTCAGTGCGAAAGCAAAAGCACTTTATTTGGCCTTCCAGAAGTAGATGCAATTAGGAATCATTGGTTAAGATTTATTTACAACAGAACAGCACAACCCAGATGTTCGAATTTGTGCAACGCATTTTATAAACCTAGAAGAGTAAAAGGCTATTTCTAAAAACAAAACAAAAAAAGGGTAAATTCCGACTTTGCTATATGACAATCTGGCGCTTCTGAATCAGCTACTGTAAGTATGTTTTGTTATTAGTTTAAGTATTTGCTATTGACTGTTCAAATGCGGAGTTTTGCACAGCGCAGAGTAACGCGTCGTGTGTGTGTGTGTGTGAGGGGAACAGGGTCACATCACAGGAGATTTGAGAGAGGCGGGGCATGACCGACCTACAATAATGTACAGTATTTGAAAAATAATGTGTTTTTTGAACATTAAAGCATGTCAACATATTCTGTTACACCAAATACACAAAATAATGATCTTTAAAATAGCATCATATGACCCCTTTAAGATTGTTGGTTGGCTGAAGTCTTTAAATATGCCACTAGGGCTGTGCAAATAATCGAATGCGATTTTCATGCGCATCTCGTCAGTAAAGCCGGTTCTGTGATTAGTAGTAAATCTCCAGCACGTGCTTTCAGATGGAGCGGCATTTACTACACAAAGCCGTAGTTCACTGACAAGCTACGCAAAATCGCGTTCATAATCGGCAATGAATCGCCTGCGATTTTGAACGCAATATTGCGTAGCTTGTCAGTGATCTACGCCTGAAGCACGTGCTGGAGATTTACTACTAATCACAGAACCGGCTTTACTGACGAGATGCACATGAAAATCGCATTCGATTATTTGCACAGCCCTATAGACCACTAATATTTATAATGTGTGAATGATCTTACATCACTCCAGCACACATCCAGCACTGGGCCTGTGTGCATCTGCTGGGCTTTAGGGACAGTCTGACCATTATCTTGAACCTCCCAGCACCGCACCTGTGTATATGCAATACATGCAAATATATCAGTTACAAAATGACAGAAAGGTTATTTTAACACATCTTTAAGAGATATTTCATCAACTATAAATGAGAGGCAACAACATTTCATATTTTAAGTTACAGTCAAGGTTGAACAAATATAGAGTGCCTGAAAGAACAGCAAATATATAAATATATATATATATATATATAAAGGATAAGAGAAATGGTCATGTCAACGGCTTACGTCATTGGCCCACGAGCCTCCGATGAGAAAGTTCCCAGGCATTGTAGGAGGACTGAATGCCAAGCAGCTTATGCTGTCATCGGGTGGCGATGTTACTTCAACATCCTGTTATCAACGACGCCTCAAATGAATTAACATGAACAAAAGCTTATTTGTAGGTATATTATATTCCTGTATATACCTTCATTGGATTATGGCTGTCTGTGGTGGTGGTGCCAAATACACCTGTTCCTCCGGACCCAAAGCCCGTGTTCGTCCCGAATAAACTCATTTCAATCTGTTAAGAGCTGATCAAACAAGAATGAATCAGATTACATCAACGTCACATTCAAAATAACATTAACACGTGACAACTACAATACCTACACTGATTCAAATGGATTTATTGTTAATATTAACAAACCGCTACTACACTTAAAGTGTCCAAAATCAATCTGTTAGTCAGATTATGAAGTGAAATATTAAATTCTACTTCACGTTTAACGTTACATGCATACAACCACAAACCGTGAAATCGGGTTTTAGTAGCCTTCAGCAAATACAATTAAATTATAGGCCCGGGCAGCCTCTAAATTAAATACAATGATCTATCAAAATATCTTAATCAACTAAACTCACTAACTGCCGTAGAAATATTTGATTATTCCCATAAAACCAGTTCTCGCTTCTGAGATGATAAACACACACGCTGCTATAGGCACTTCCTCCTCTTCTTCTTCTTCTTCTTCTTCTTTCCAGTTTAACGGCGGTTGGCATCCAGCTTATTGGTGCATTACCGCCCCCTTCTGCTCCGGAGTGTGAATCAGATAATAGGTTATCTATTCCCTTTTCCTACTAAAACTTACACATCACTCACATTGTCCCCTCACATTAATATCCACACACACATCACACATCAAATCCTGCTTAAAAATAAACAACTAAACCTTCCATAAATAAATTAAACAACCGGTAGTATTATTATGCCATTTAAATTCTACTTTCTAATCCTGTTATCTTCAGATAACTAAGAATTTCTCTCATAGTACTTGTCTGTCCTGAGGCACAACTTAAAAGATTTGACATAGTGAAATTAATTACTCCTATGTTTCTCAGTTTCTTAAATAACTCCTCTCTTTCTTTGGTATATACTGCACAATGTAAAAGTACATGCTCAATAGTCTCTGCTTCTATGCATGTAGTACACAATCCTAACTGATGTTTCCCTATTGTGAATAATGATGATCAAATGCGGAGTTTTGCGCATCGTGTTTGTGTGTGTGTGTGTGCGCGCGAGAGAGAGAGAGAGAGAGAGGAGAGACAGGGTCACATCACAGTGGAGTCAGCTGTCTTAACCGTGGCTTGTGTACTGCAAACACATATTCATCACACGACACTCTGTTCCCCTTTCGGGCTCTGTCTTTACATTTATTTTGAAAGATGAAGCTCGCGATTATGGAAAGGGGCGTTACATTTCCGACGAGTGCTTGCGGTGTTCGGCCAATCACAATGCACTGGGTCAGCTGGCCAATCAGAACAGACTGCGCTTGTCGGAAGGAGGGACTTTGTAGAAAACGAAGCGTTCGAGAGAGGCGGGGCATAGAGGACCTACAATAATGTACAGTATTTGAAAAATAATGTGTTTTTTGAACATTAAAGCATGTCAACATATTCTGTTACACCAAATACACAAAATAATGATCTTTAAAAAAGCATCATATGACCCCTTTAAAGATTGTGCCTGAACAGTTTCTACTTTTTTAATCAAGACACTTCCTCCTCCTTCTTCTTCTTTGGTGTTTATTGGCGGTTGGCAACCTAACTGATTGGTGCATTTACCGCCACCTACTGGACTGGAGTGTGGGCAGTACTTTGAGAGAAAGGACAAGGAGAAAAAAAAAATATCTATACACATATATATACATATGTACACACATACATACACATACATATATACATATATATACATACACACATACATATATATATATATATATATACACACACATCCACACATTCTCCTTCCCCGCTATATATCTCCATCAAATTCTTTCACTTATCCCAGTATTTTTCAAATAATTCATTAGGAGACTATGTATTTCCCTAGACATTGTTTTTCCTAGCAGATTTCCCACTGTCATGTTTTGTTTTCCAACTTGTGTTTCTAACTCCCTTCTTTCTTCTTCATACCTTTTACAATCTAATAAAATATGTTTTACTGTCTCTTGTGTGTTGCAGTGGTCGCAAAGACCAGTGGGGTGTTTTCCTATTTTTTTAATCAAGACACTTCCCCCTCCTTCTTCTTCTTTGGTGTTTATTGGCGGTTGGCAACCTAACTGATTGGTGCATTTACCGCCACCTACTGGACTGGAGTGTGGGCAGTACTTTGAGAGAAAGGACAAGGAGAAAAAAAAAATATCTATACACATATATATACATATGTACACACATACATACACATACATATATACATATATATACATACACACATACATATATATATATATATATATACACACACATCCACACATTCTCCTTCCCCGCTATATATCTCCATCAAATTCTTTCACTTATCCCAGTATTTTTCAAATAATTCATTAGGAGACTATGTATTTCCCTAGACATTGTTTTTCCTAGCAGATTTCCCACTGTCATGTTTTGTTTTCCAACTTGTGTTTCTAACTCCCTTCTTTCTTCTTCATACCTTTTACAATCTAATAAAATATGTTTTACTGTCTCTTGTGTGTTGCAGTGGTCGCAAAGACCAGTAGGGTGTTTTCCTATTCTCTGTAATGTAAAATTTAAACCAGCATGACCTATTCTAAGACGTGTAATTATCTTTCCTTCCTTTGGATTCCTGCTCTGCCTAATACTATTTAAGCCTACTTGTTTTTGTATGTTATACAGATGTCGTCCAGTATCAGTTATGTCCCAGTATTCTTGCCATATTTTGCTTGTATGTCCCTTAATAATGGTTTTGATTTCTGTTCTACATAACGGTATTTGTATATCAACTGTTTCATGCTTTATTGCTCCTCTTGCCAGAATATCTACAATCTCATTTCCTTCCACCCCTACATGAGCAGGAACCCAAAGGAAGGAAACATTCAGCCCTTTATCATACAGTATTAAAAGTAAGTTGAATATCTGGTATATGATATCTTGTCTACATGATGTTTTCCCAGATTGAATACTAGATAGAGCAGATAAGCTGTCAGAAGCTATGATTACATTTTGGTTCTGTTTATTTCCTTCCAACCACTGTAATGCCAATAAAATTGCTAAAAGCTCTACTGTAGGATCTAGTGGTTAAAGGGATAGTTCACCCAAAAATGAAAATTCTGTCATTAATTACTCACCCTCATGTCGTTCCAAACCCATAAGACCTCCGTTCATCTTCGGAACACAAATTAAGATATTTTTGATGGAATCTGACCCTCCCATAGACAGCAAGGGTACTACCACGATCAACGTCCAGAAACGTAGCAAGGAGATCGGTAAAATAATCCATGTGACATCAGGGGTTCAACCGTAAT